CTGCATTATAAAGTGACTCTACCTTTTATCTGCCTCTATTTTCTTATAAATTGTCCTCCTGCTCTCTCTTCCCTGGTCCCATCTGGTTCAGGACTAGTATGAGAATAACTTTTGGTTAGGATCAACCTAAACACAGTCAACCATGTCAGGTTAACACCTTAACTGTTTTTCATCTCTAAGGCTCTTAGTTTCTATTGACGCCTTTATCCTTGTCTAGACCTAACTAGTGCTTTATATTTGTAATGCAATGATTATAATATTGGTAATGGTTGATGCTATTTGATGTTTTACGTATGTAAGATTTAGATCCAAGAATTCAGGAACCATACATGAATGACCTTTTTCTGGGAACATCATGGGACTTCTCATTCCACTAGTTTTACCAATCTATATTGAAATAGCATATATTAGGTAATCATTTTTGCACCATTCCTTTGCCCTTTTCTGACCTTGGGTACATGTTCCATTTCTTTTTTGCAGATGCTTCACAGTCATTAAGTCAGGCTGTGAAACTTTTCTTGGAGATTGGTAGATTAAATATGGCTGCAAGATACTGCAAGGTGATGAACTGCCTTTTTTTAAAAACTTTATGGTAGTAAATTATAATTATTCAATTTGATGAAACATGTGTATATCAGTAGATATGCTAACCAAGGGTTTAAATTTTGTGATTTGGGTTTTGCTGCTAACATGCTGGCATGATACATCCTGGCTAGCATAGGCTCTATGCCAAGCCAACAGCTTACCCTCTGTACAGCATGAAACCCATTTCTAATGTGTGCTTGGAAGGGAGTAGCACCATAAAGAAGGGTTTAGCACTTGAGGTCCATGATGGTGACTGTACGTTCATGATTTAAGTCAATGATAACATGCATATATAAAAAGATTCACCTTGCTGACCTCAAATAATTGAGACATTACAGCTTCTTGTTGTTATTGTTGATAACATGCACATATAAAAAGATATGTTTTATATATTTGATTTTGCTTGCTGGGGAATCCATGTCTTTCAGGAACTTGGTGAATTAAATGAGCAAGAACAGAATTTAGAGAAGGCCATGGACTACTTTGAGCAGGCTGCTGACCTTTTTCAAAGTGAGGAAGTGACTACTTCTGCAAACCAATGCAAGCAAAAAGTTGCACAATTTGCGGCTCAGTTGGAACAGTAAGATAGCAAGTTGTCTGTATTTAAAATTTTCTTTACTCTTTCTGATTAACATAAAGAGCAAGTCAAATGACTATCCATAAATATCATTTTTTTGACTTTCTTTTGTGAACTATGACGTTTGCTAATGTATCTTATCAGCATTTAAGTAGAAGATTCTAGTTTTGACTCGACCACCTAGACATAAAAGAGATTTGCTTTCAAGCTTTTTTTGCATTCAGTACATGGTAGGAGCATGGCTGCAATGTCAAAGTATATGTTCATATTCATCTTGCTTCTAAATTAACAAGGCTTAGTTATACTTCTTGATTTGATGTAATTGTTCTATTGATATAACCAATGCCCCTATCCCATCAATTTGTCATACATGTGACATGGGTTGTCTCATTATATCTTTTTTCTTATTATTTGTCATGTTCATTTGTCAATGAATTTGAGTTTGCTGTGTAGACAATTCTGCAGCATTCAAAATGTTACTGATGGTCTTGGAATCTTGACCAATTCAAATTTTAGTTACCTACACTGTTTAGTTAGACTCATCTGAACTAGTTTATTCTATATGTCCAGGGTAATTATATGCCTTTATTTGCTACTTCTTCCTAGTGCTACGACACCTTGATATATGGCACTTTGCACTATATATCAGTTTTGAGGACCCTTTTGTGCCAGTAACAAGGAATTTGGATTCAGTGAAAAATTACACCTTGTTGTGATTTTGATACTCTCATCATATGAAATTAACTTTTATTTAGGAAATTTGATTTCTTAAAGATGCTGATCTTTAAGATTTATTTTCCTTTAAGAGGACATTTGTGGTTCATATAATCTATATTATTGCAAACTATCAACATATCCAACAACTAGCTTCAAGAAATTATATACTTCTGATTTAAGCATCCCAATGTCCAATTAGATTTAAGGATTTATACATCCAGTTTTCAAGATCTTTTAACTATATTACAGTTGTGTGCATTGAAATTTTGATACAGTAACTTTTTTGCAGATACCCAAAAGCCATTGAAATATATGAAGCAATAGCACGCCATTCAATAAATAACACTCTTCTTAAGTATGGTGTTAAGGGGTTACTCCTTAATGCTGGCATATGTCAGTTATGCAAAAATGACGTTGTTGCGGTGACAAATGCATTAGAGCGATATCAGGTTTGTCCGTCTCTTGGTTGGTGGTTGAATTTTTTTTTCCTGAAACTTATATAACAAAATTAACTGGATTTTACTTGCTTGTCCAGGAACTCGATCCTACTTTTTCAGGCACACGTGAATACAAGCTTTTAGCTGTAAGACACTTTATCTTGTCATTCTGGTGGTATTTGGGTTGAATTCTCATTTACTGATTACCTCACTATGCTGCATCGATCAGCTTTCTCTGAATCTTGTTTGCAAGATGACTTGCTCTGATTCAACTTGGAATTTGTTGTGACTTTCTGAAAGCTCAAGTTTCAAATTCAACAAATTTGGACTTCAAAATGAAAAGTGAAATATAGGAAGTTTAAGTAGTCAAGGATGTTGAAGCATATGGTTTTTGCGTTTCTAGGCATAAAGATACTATAGAAGACTAATGAAGATTTAAAGAAATAATATAGTATACTATTAGCTTTTGTTTTCTTGATTAAACTTTTCAATCTATTCTTTAACAACTTAAGTGTCTATGGACCAATAATTTTTGAACTTGACAAATTGATTGGTAGTAGATATGCATTCGAATTGCATGCATATGTAATAGGTCCTTGAAGTTGAAATCAAGAATTAAGTTCATCATTTTCTATAATGTAGTTTTGATATCTCAGCTAAATTCTTATTAACTATTTAATTTCTTCCTCTTTCTCTTTCTTTGTGCAACATGTCTTTCATGATTTGACTATATATATGCATGCTTTCGTGTATTTTTGAATGCAGAAAGGTTACTTTACTTTCTTCTTCTTGAAATGTATGAACTGTGAACTGGATCATCTAACATGTTTCATTAAGAACATGTCTCATAAGATTAGTACTCTGATGGCAGGATTTAGCTGATTCAATGGATGAGGGAGATGTTGTGAAATTTACTAATGCCCTCCAAGAATATGATAGCATGACTCGGCTGGTAAGTCTATTATCTAATATTAATCGTTTGTGGTGCACTTATGCATGCATGCATGAAAGTTTATTCACAAATATCTGATCAATCTAAGTTTTTTCTTTTAATAAAATTTAATTCAGACCAAAATTGATGAGATACAATGTGATCGGATTATAATATAAAATCTTCCCAATTACATGCCCAAACAACATGCATGTCAAGTTAGTAATTATGACACTGTTTAGATTTGTCTTGCATTGGTTTCCTATTTTTAGAATGGAATCAGTTCTTATAACTCTCGCCAGTTGGTCTATATTCAACCATAATGAATTGCTCATAATTGAATCACCGAACAGTCCTGACATTTGAACATAATTGTCATTTGATTCTCCATCTTATCAGAACTCTTAATTTGAACCAAAGAAAAAAGAAAACACTTTTCTCACCACATATCCTGCAGTTTAGGCTGTTTAAAAAAAAATCAAAAACTAGTGCTGATATCAAAATTAATTTCTTCCTCTTTGTAGACTACTTTGTATGTCAAGATCTCAAACATTTTTTGTTATGCAAGTTGAGGCACGGATTAGCCCATGTATGTCAAAACTGGATTTTAATCGGTCACTGGAATGCAGGTTCCTCTACCAATTATAGAATCATTTTATAAGGCTATGATAAGTTTTGCCTTCTTATACGAGGCTAAAATAAGTGGCGCATAATTTCACCATGACTTCATTTACCTGACTCAGTATGAAGGCAGCATAACGCACAAAATAGTCTTGTATTTGGTCTAATATTTTGTGTTGATTCCATCTCCATTGGCTATAGGATCCATGGAAAACCACACTTCTGCTGAGAGTGAAGAATGCAATTAAAGCAAAGGAGGAGGAAGACGATGATCTCACCTAAGGCCCACTTGTAATCACTGTTCATGTTTTCGTCTGTATTTGGTGATTTCTTGGTGGCCATGGTTTGTGTGTGAAGATTGGATGCAAGGATCTGAGGACTTGTGATGCTTTTGGGTTCGCTATGTTGTACTTGGAAATACTATGGTTTTCTCCATCGTATCCACGGGAGGTGGCTACACATCACAACAGTTCACTAAGAGCGAGCATCTGATTTCAGTTTGAACTGTGTTATTCTCATTCCAGTTGCGGAAATTATGATTTCCTTCTGGCAAAGGTGCCTCGTTGTCACAGGTAGAAGATGATCTGGGCGTGTTGAGGTTAACATGAGAAACTCCAGGACAGCAGCATAAATCCCACCGAACTCTCGGAGGTACAACCTATCCTACATGCCTCATTGGGTTGAGGTTTTCAGGTGATAAAGGTGCATTTGTTATGCAGGCATTAACAGGTGATAAAGGAGATGAAGTTGTTAATGATTATGGGGTCGAAGCAATAGACGTCAGAGGGAGGGGATTCATTTGGTGTCCCCATCCTAAATGTTCTTTGTGGTTGTCATCAACATAGTTGGAACGATAAACGATGACATAAGGTCATAAATGATGATGGAGTCAAAACGATAGACGATAACAAAAATGACATGATAATGAGATACATCTAAGGTACTAAAAAAATTAATGATACACAGATGATTAAGTCAAAATAATAGATGATAATAAAAAACAATGAAAAACATTTAGGATATTTATAGAAAACAAAAAATGAGGGACATCATCCAAAAATCATCCATCTCAACGCAAATCGTGAAATTGAGGAGAGACTCGATAATTTTTCGTCGATTCAGTGGTGTCCTATCCTCAGAAAAAACTGCTGAATCCTCCAATAAGCACTTTAAAAAAATGGTAACTGATTACACCACACACACAAAATAACGTAACTGCAAACTTGGAAACTGTAAGCTATTAACCCAACATTCATAGTGACATCCGAGAAGCCCCACCACTTTTACAAAACTCGTAACACCCCGAGTGGGTTCATCACTTCCAATGGTCCATCCGAGAAGCCCCACCACTTTCATAAATATGATCTTGGTGTCTCATTTGCCAGCACTGTGCTTTGCTTTTGTATGAGATTGAAGAGCATTGTCAGAGTTGAAGTTCCTACAAAAATTGTTTGTTTGGTTCATGAACTGATTCATATATGAGTATGGAAATGGTGGGGGAATTGAATACATACTTGCCACATGACTTGCAATTGACAGAGCCTGCCGATTTTGGGGTTTGCTGTTTAGACTTGTCATTCTTAGCAGGAGTTTTTCCACTCTGTTTTGCCGGAATAGGGGTAGCAGAATGGCCATCTTTCTTAGCAGCACCACCTGTGAGTTTATTGTTGGTCTCATATGCATCATAGTTTAAACCAACATAAAACAATGTATATTTATTTAATAATGAATCAAGTTTACATGCAAATCATTACCCTTTTTCTGACTCTCTCCTTTCCCTGGGGATATTAACTTTGCTTTCTTCTCCGAAACAGGAGTTTTTAAAGCAGAACCAGCTGGCCTTTTATTAGGAGGTTCAGCCTGCAGAGATGGCAATGGCAATGGCAATTATCTTATAATATGAGTTTATCAAAACAACTGATGACTGAATATTACAAAACAGAATAGTTCCACCCAAACAACTGGTGTCTGAATAAATATGTAAACAATCTGTTTACCATTTTTACAGGAGCTTCATCTTCATCAGAGCTTTCAACTTCATCCTCGTCCTCATCTTCGCTATCATCTTCCGCTTCAACCATATCCTGAAAGAAGTATTTAGCAAAGAAAACAAAATAAAACAGATGTATCAATAGCAGCTACCACATTGTCAAAACATGCTCATTAAGTGACCTAACATAAAACTTGATGAAAACCTTTCATCGCTTGACAATTGCTAGAAAGATGCTAAGCACATAAATTAGTATGAGACCAAACAAACAGAACAGACAACAAAAGGGGCACTGAAATACTGAGGATGTAAACAACTTATCAAACAAGAAAATAACATATTTGACAGACATTGCACAGACCTCATCATCATCAGATTCATCTTCGTCAGACTCTTCACCATCAACATCTTCATCATCATCCTTATTCGGCTTTTGCTTATCTGCCTTCTTCAGTTCCTCTATTTTAGGTTTTGCCTTGGAAGCAGGGGCATTTGCTTGAGGAACTTTTGGCTTTCCCTCTGTAGATTTGGTCTGTTCAACCTTCACAATAGACTTGCCTGAAAGATATGGAAAACAGTATCACATAAGAAAACCACCTAAAGTCCACTATAACATAGTAAATTCTCCAAAATTACAAGTTAAACTGATTTAACTTTATGAACAAATACAAAATTTAGTTATAAATTGAAGTAACACACATCATTTGTTAATTGCAATAATAACCCAGACAATTGACAGGGTAAACCATCAAGAACACAAGGAACATAAATTGACTTGGTATCGAGAAACCAACAAGTGTACTCAGAATCACACCATTAGTCTTCTGGTCAAGTTGAATATCTTCATCAGCATCCGAGTCACTCTCTGGAATTCAAACGGTAGCAAACATTTTTGTTAGGAGAGAAACAGAATGAGAACAAAATATTTAATAAGAGACAACAACAAGATGTACCATCAAAATCAGGAAATGTAGACCCCCAAAAAGAAAAACTTAGTCAAGGAAATCAAAAGTAGCAAATATCTGTTATGTAGTGCAAGACATGAATATTAAACCAAATTAGTACGTAAATTAGCTTCCTACGGGAAGATCAAAAGGATATTCGTCTGCCTCAAGTGCAGCAGTTTTATAGCCACATAAGTAGACACTTGCATTGTTTGAGCTGTGAGATAGCTCAAATTCTTTCTCAAATACTAAATCATATTGAATTTGAGCACATTTCTCTGCAGAGAGTGTTCCAAGTACAAGCTTTTGGTTGTTAAATTTCACATAGACCAGTATATTCTCATTTCCCTTCTTAGTCTCCCCTAAAGAAGCCTGCATGGTAATAGATAGACATTAATATAATCATTTTTCAATATGAAGAAACACTTTGAGCAGTACGCGGCGAAGTAAAACCTGAGAAAGATGCAAATATTTGTCCTCTCCAGGATCAACCTTGACAGTCTCTTCAGGCTTAATTTCCAGACCTGAAAATTTGTAGCAAAATTGATTGATGAAAACACTACTATGGGTGACAAACAAAACAAATAAGGTAAGGAATTTTGAGGGAAGAGGAACTTAATGTAACTTAGCCAAGGTAGAATCTTGGCTGGATAAAAAGCAAGCTATGACTTGCACAAATACTCAGAAAAACTAAAAATAACTCAAAGAACATAAAACCTTAAAAATGTCAACAAGCACTTTTCATTAACCTTCTTCTTTTTAGGATTTTACTGATACCGCAAGTAGCAATTACCTCAATTTATGTGCGATATATCACTCAGAATAGTTATTTTGATATCTAGTAAATTCAGGAAATATGAGTTCACTATAGGTTATCATTATTGTAACACCAGACTCATAGCATATTTATTCTAAATATAATTTTTCTCAGACACGTTCCGTTTGCCCAAAACACCATGTTCCATTTTAAATTATTTTATAACTCATCAAAGTCTACCGCCAAAATTTACATGCATAAAGCACACAAGAATCCTCTGTTTCAAGTACACTTGAAGAAGAAAACAGAAAAGAAACTGTAAGAATGTAAAAGAAAGATTTTTGACGCCGTACTGCCGCATAATGGGTGTGATAAAGTGGAACAGTGATATAGTACGTTCCAGAACAGCTTATGAAACCACCAGTGATACACAAGCGCATGATTTGAGACACAACAATATGAGCTAAACTAAGAAGAAAAAGAACGCTAAATCACAATCTCCATAATAGCAGCTGCAACATTTACGGTGTTGCATTCAACCTATTGGCGAAAAACCAAGACACTCACAGACATTATAATTAACTGTAGGGTCATCAAGAGGCAAAAGGACAGAATGATCGGAGGGCAGATGTCCAACCTCCTACCCAGAGTCAAATAGAAAGAAGAGGAGAGGGATGGTAAACAAGCAAAGGGAGAGAAGAACATTACCCCAGAACTCCATGGCGGTGGGAATGGAATGCCGGGAGGGAAGGGGTCGGAAAGGAGCGCGAGGAGAAAATGGCGAGTTTAGTGGGGGATTAGGGTTTTGGGCTCCGAGAGGCAATTTAAAGCCACCAGGGATCCCTTGGAGACTTCGGATCGCCGATCTCCACCGTTGCTTGCTCCATCGCTGAGGGGCGTATACAAAATTTCACTCAAATAACAACGGCTATATATATATATACATATATATATATATATACATATATATATATATATGTATATATATACTATATATGTATATATATACATATATATGTATATATATATGTATATATATACATATATATGTATATATATATGTATACATATGTATACATATACATTTATGTATATATATGTGTATATATATATATACATATATATAATTATATAAATTTATCATAAATTCATAAAAAAAAATCAAGGTATCTTAAAAATATATTATTATTTATATGATTTTATCCTAAATTATCTAAAAAAATTACATTAGAAATATATTCAAGTTACACTCATTCGTCAAATATATTAAAATTGTCATAAATTAATCATAAAACTAATAACAAAATCCTATATTTTCTATTTTCAATATTCACTTAGTTACACTTAGAAAATGAAATAAGTTAAATTCGATTATCTAACTTATTTTAAAATTATTTTTTAGGTATTTTTAGATTAATTAATTATCAAAACTTTAAGAATTCTACTAAACTATGATTTAAACAAAAAATTATACTATCTTTTTATTTTATTACGAATTTAGAATAAATAAATATATATATATATATATATATTTAATAAATATATGAATGAGTGTAATTCGATTATAACTTGAGTATAAGTTGAATGTAAGGGTCTTAACCAACTCGAATTTATTTAAATGAATCTGATATGTATAAGCTTGACTCAAATTGAATTGACTTACGAATCTTGCAAGCTTAGAACTTGATTTAAGGATATTATTGAGATTTTTGAAAAAGGAGATGCCCATTCATAAGAGTCAAATATTAGACGTCATATGATAAACACTCATTACTAGAGTTTCTTTATATATATATATATATATATATATATATATATATATATATA